GGCTGGCGCCTTAGCCGGTTGAGCTATAGGCGCCGAGCCTCATCCTCCTTTTCATGACTGGATCCTTCTCATCCTTCAGGTTTCAGTTTGAAAGTTTTCCTACTTAGGAAAGCCTATCCTTACCAGCCTACTTAATAAAAGTACCCTGCCCCCCCCCACCATTATTCTTCCTCTCCTGGCACTCACCGTAACTTAAAAATGTTGCCTTTGTTTAATTTTTAAAATCTATCTCCTCTACAGACTGTCAGCTCTAAGTAAACTTGTATTATTTTATAATTTTTTTTCTTTTTGAGACAGAGTCTCAAGCTGTTACCCTGGATAAAGTGCCATGGCATCATAGCTCACAGCAACCTCCAACTCTTTTTCTCGAGCAATCCTCTTGCCTTAGTTTTTCTATTTTTAGTAGAGACGAGGTCTCACTTTTGCTCAGGCTGGTCTGGAACTCGTGAGCTCAGGCAATCCACCCACCTCGGCCTCCCAGAGTGCTAGGATTACAAGTGTGAGCCACTGCACCCAGCCTTATTTTATAATTTTTTTATTTTTTTAATTATTTTAAATTTTTTAAAGCACAAGAGAACCTCTGGTGGACTGGAGAGGTGATACTGGGGAGAGTCAGGGCCTGATCACACCCTGGGACACCGAGATGGGGGATGGTGCTACAGGAAGACTAGAAAAGCAAGATCTCTTGTTGTGAGTGTCACTCTGGTGGAGAGAATTCTTTTCTACCACCCCACCCCGCCATACCCATTCCCAGTGAAAGCAGTAGCCGAATAATTGGGTGAGTCAGCTGGGCTTCTCAGAAGAAGACGCAATTCCCAATAAATCCACAAGGTGGCAAGCAGAGAACAAAACCAATAACAACCAAGGTCAAGGCCACCAAACCAAGGTTAAGGGCTGAAGAAGTTGCCAAGGGTCCTAGTGAATCTGCTGAGATAGAAAGAGGTGGAGAGAGATGGTCTACAGCACCTAAAACTATGTCCCTACTATTTTAACTGATGTACTATTTGAAGGCCACCATCCAATGCCGTGGCCTAGAAAAGCTATACCCTAAGTCCCCACTTAATATCATCTTTTATACTTTCTTGGAAACGAAAACTTTTAGAGAAATGATGTAGAACGAAACCAATTTCACCATAAGCTAATTAATACACATGAGGGAGGTTACTCTGTTATATTTCTGGTCACAAAAACATCACCAGACTTCTAAATAAAAACCCAGACCACGTCTAATTTTGAGCACTGAAAT